TCGATTTTGGCAACTTTTCCGATACATTCGTCAATTTCCGTGATGAGACTACGTTTGTAGAAAGTAACCGACAGACCCATAAGGCGGATCCAAGCTATGATTCAACTAGGGAATAGTTGAGAGGAAGCGAAGTCCGGTGACTATGGTTTGACTATTAGGTAGCGCTCGAATACCGTCCAGGGGCCATCAGCCAAAGCTTTCAAGAAATCTGCTCGAGTCCAAAGCGAGACGAGAAAGTAGTCGTTTTCAATGTCCATGAGGCGAAAGGGTTTAGTAGGCTTCCACAACTCATAGATTTTGTTCCGGAGTGTTGTGTATCCTATACGTCGCCCAAAGAGCTTCACCACCACCGTTTGATCAAAACTCTTGTTTGCTATGGCCTGGACCCGATCAGAGAAGTCAATAGAGACTAAACCATCAAATATGCTTCGCACTACGTCATCTTCTAAGACTTCAACGTCTTCCTCGTCTAAAATATATTCCTCTATTATCGGTGGATTAGGGTTGTCCCTTACGAGGGTGCCATGATAGGAGAGTGACAAAGGTGGGTTGTTTGGCCTACGTGAGTCGGCCATATCAACGTCCATATCATTTGTTTGCGTGTTGGCAGGATCCGGTGCTTCATTATCAAGGCGGCGGGCTTTCTTTGGGATGCGGTCTTCCAAAGTTTTCAGATCTAGGTAAAATTCTTGTTAGAATAAATTTTACTAGGCAATATTTTGTTGTCTCTTTTACTACTTGCTACATGGATAATTCATTTAAGTGGATTGATTTTTAAGCTTGAGTCGAGTCTCTTAATTTTGTATGATATATGTATATCACATATGAAAAAAAAAAGATTAAATATATATGCATTATATATGGTTATAGAAAATCATTTAAATTAGAATCAAATAGTATCATAATATTATAAATATTTAAGATTAAATTTAAATAGAAACTCAAATAAACTTGAATCAAATCTATTCAAATCAAATCAAATAGTATCATTAAAATTCGAATCGAGTTGGTTCAAATTTTATAAACTCGACTCGACTAAAAAATTCAAATCAAATTTGTGCTACAAAATATGACTCGTCGACTCATATAACTCGAAAATTTTTACTAACTCAATTTGACTCGATCAAACGCTCACCCCAAGTATGAGATTGAATTCTTCAAGTTAAATTCTGGTCGGGTCATTTTCTAGTTGTGACAATTCTAGGTTTGGACAAATTTGGTTCAAGTCACTTTCATGTTTGAAAGTTTTGGATTGATTTTTAATTATAATTATTTTGGGTTCGAGTCAATTTAATTTAAGTCATTTTTCAAGTTTGAGGATTAAGATTTTTGAACTGGATTATTTGAATTTTGGTCCTTTTGAGTTATAGTTATTTTATATTCAATAATTCAATTTTTATATAAGATATGAATTTTAATCCAACAAAATTACAAATTTAAATTTAAAATATAAATAATTTTGAAATTTTAAGATCAAATATCAATCTAATATAAAAGTAAAAAATATTTTTCTATTTTATTTTTATATGCATTTACACATAAATTTTTATACATTGGTAAATTATTATTATTTTGTTTAATCATTGATACTCGACTTATTGATTGATTAATCTGAATCAGATACTATAAAGATATATTATAAACGTGATCCTCGTAACTCGGTATTTTTCATTTAAAATGATAGAGTTCAAACTCCTAACTTTACTTAAAAATAATTTACTTATTATACTTAACATATCTTCCTAGTTTCTTTATTAGCAAACTCTATAATTTTCTTTAATTTAATATTTTCTCAAAAAAAATTTACCAGATAGTATTTGATGCACACTGTAAATACCTCCGGTTACTATTATATATATTTTTTCAAATGAGTTTCGTGATAAAACCGGTAGCGATACATCTTCGATAATGACAATTGTTTAATTTTTTTTATTTCTACAATTAAAGTTAAAGATCGGGTGTCTAAATGACATCAGATATCCATACCAAACTTATGGTTATATATCAAGTATTAAATTATGATTATAGAAAAGTAGTAACTATACATAATGATATCCGAGTCTCGAGAGATTCAAAAAATATTTGAAAATCTTGTGATATGTTTTTTTTCATAAATAACTTTTCATAGTTGTCGGAAAGAAAAATCCTGTTACAAATTTATTTCAAACAAATTTACAAAATTATAGTGGGCTACATAGATTGAGTATTTAAACTTTAGCTCTTATATCACTTAATGTAATTCTTAGACCTGACTTACGAGTTACAATTAAATCAGGGTAAACACACTGACCACATAATTGATTTATGGACGAATATTTATTTAGTAAATCATTTTAAAAATATTTATTATTATAATATCATAAATAAACTCATACCACAGTTTAAAGTGATTGAAAATAAATATTTAACATCATACCGTATGAATCCAAACTCCTCGTCTGATAGCCAAACCAGTTATACATCTAGATAACCTAAAAATGTAAACAGAAACAGAGTGAGCTACAAAACTTAGTGTGCCCTCTAAATATAAAAAAAACAGATGATTCAAGTATGATATAATAATAATAAAGTAATCAAGCAACAATAAAAACATATATTTAATACCAATAAATCATACAGAATTCCTCACAACCTTATATTTCGTTATAGACGAACAAAATGTGGAACATTACCTACTGAAATGAATCTGAGACCTCCAAAGGTGGATCCAAAGCAAAAAACAAAAAACAGGATAGGGATGTTATCTCCGAATATGAGCATGAGTTCACCTCTAAGGAGAATCTCAACAGAAATTAGAAAAGGGACTTACCCTCCGAAGAGGATCCCAACAGAAACAGGATAAGGATATTGTCCTCTGTAGAGGATCCCATGCAGAAACACGATAGGGATATTGCCTTCTGTATAGGAACTCATGCAGATGAAAAAAATATATCAAAACACAGATAAAAAAGTGAAGCAATACCAATCAGAAATCATATATATCATAGCTAATCATAAATCAGAATATTAACATGCGAATAGATAGCATCATATAATAGAATCATAAAATTATTAAATGTTTCATACATGTCAAGAGGACACACCTATACCAACTAATATATATCGGCTAAGTCTTACGCTTCCTACAAACAGTAGTACTAGATCCTACAGAATGAAAACCTAATGAAAATGTATTTGTAAAAGAACTGATGTAATACAATGTTAAACGAATTAACTAATAATTCAATTGATAACACTCACGCGTATCTCGAATCAAACGTGCAGAATCGAGTTGAGTTGAAAATGAGTGATTTCGAACCTACTAGATAGCAGTACAGAGACATGTGATGACATTAAGAACATAATATCATAAAGTAAGATCATAGATTCTAGAATTTACTTATCATAACTACACTTTAAAGAACTGAAAGATGCAAAACAAGACTTTCGGGTCAAAATTTGACAAAAAGGGCTCATGAAATCGAAAAAAGTAAAGGTAGATGTCTTCAAAAAAAAGTCAACGATCAACAAAAAAATCAACAGTCAAAGGTCAAGGGTAAAAGTCAATGGGTCGAGTCAATAGGTCGGATCAACATGTCAAAGTTAACGGGTCGAATCAACGAGTCAAAGTCAATGGCTCAGGTTAACGGATTAAAGTTAACGGGTCAGGTCAATGGGTTAAAGTTAACACAACGGGTCGGGTCTGATTGGTTCAAGTATGGTTTTGTCATACTGATCTAGTCCTTTTAACTGGTCCAACCGATTTGCAAAAAAAAAGTATCACAGGTGCAACGACGACACGTGTGGGCCATCCTTCGATGATTGGATTTCTACCAAAAATTCCAAAATCACGTTTTACAGTACGGGGGTCACTTATCGGGGTCAGTTTGCGACGTTGAGCACAAAAATGAGGCTTTTGAGAAACTCGAACGTTTGTTTAGTCCCGAATTGCTAATGATGTCGATGACATAAAAGACGAAGACAACGGACAAACAAGGATGGCGAACTAAACTAAATGGTCCCAATGGTGACAGTCGCGACGCCTTGTACGACAACCAAAGATGATAAAAACCAAATAGGCTAGAGAGAGAATGAAGGAGAGAGATAGTTTTTTTCAGTTTTTTGAAAAAAAAAAAGAAAATGAAAAAAATTATAACATTTAAATACATAACTTGGCCAATCTTTAATTGTTTAACATTTAGGGATTCGCAAAACAAAAGAGAAAATGAAAAAGAGTCCCCACACATTTAGGGATTCGCAAAACAACATCAAATCTTTAATTGTTAGCCGTTTAACCCCCAAATTTTGGATGTGACAATCGCCAGTCTGTAATTGATATTTTCTAAACGAACTTTTATTTTGTGAATAACAATTATTATAAAAAAAATCTACTAATGTTTAACTTGTTTGGATTGAAATTAAAAAGAATAAATCTAAGCGAGGAAAAGTTTTCATCCTTTATTCTACTTCATGTTTTAATACACAATTTCAAAGGGGGGGGGGGAAGGCAAGGAAACACAGAAAAAGTTGTAATATTTGAAAGTTCAATTTCACTCTTTGTTCTGTACACAAAACATATACAATGACTATTAAATATTAGCCAACACTTTTTTATAAAGCCATTTCGATTGACATATTTTATTGATTCTTATCGAGTGTTTTTACTTTGTAGTTGTATTACCTAACGTACAACATAAGAATGCAAAAGAAACATAATAACCTAATACTGTTGGTTTTTTAGAAAAAAATTAACCATCCAAATAGAAAGTAAATGCATTATTTTTTTTTCTTTTAGCTTTTTAATAATAATTTATTCAAACATCGGGTAAAATCTTTGACTACTATTAAAACTATATAAAAAATTAAAATAAAAAAAATCCTTGAAGATCATTGTGCAGCAGATAACTCGGTAATTAAAAGTGTTCAAAAGCCCAAGTCAAACGCCAACATTTTATTTACAACTCTTTTTAATTAAAAACAAATCAATTTCTCCTTCAACAGACTTCCATTTAATTGTATCTAAGTTAAAAACAAACAATTAGATTCAATGATCCAAGGCAAACCATACCTATATAAGCATACCAATTGTTCTTGAGATGGAGCCGGATACAAACATCTCTTTTTAGAAGTATAAACCAAGCACTGTTCTACTGCTAAACTTACTGTACAAATCGGATAATAACGAAACTCGAAATTCTTCCAGGGACCCAGAAAAATACCTGATTATAGGTTTAAGACGGAGAAGGCTCTGCTCCATCATGTAGTGCACAGCAAACAGTTGCTTTATGATGTCCTTGATATGTCTTTATCTCTTCACCGCTTGTCATTGACCATAGCTTGGCTGTTGTATCAGAAGAGGCTGCAATCCACACATTTCATTAAAATAGAGATCGAATTCAATGAGGAAATATCACATTTTCCGGGGAAAGAAAAAAAACACCCTTCAGTCGTTAGAATTGTTTTCTTTCATGTAATATGGAACATCTATGTTATACCAGTAACCCACTCACAAAAGGAAGGGATTAAGTAGGAATGGTAATGAACAAGCTAGGGGAAGTGAAGGAAGAAAGAAAATCACAACATAATAAACTAACAAGGAAGTGCCAAGAGCATATAGCTCTAAACTGCTGTCATTATGCAATGTAGCAGCTATTTCATACTGGATTTAGGGTGGCGGTGTCTCTACCATCCCTGACACGCAATTGTAAAGCCACGTCTATTTAAAATGTCTTACCTGCCATTCAACAACCATAGAGCAGGAAAAGAACATCAGTGGAATTACAGTTCCACAATTCTCAACCACTAATTGAATCTATCTAGCATCTAGTTCAACAGAAATAAAGAGAAAAGGGGGGAGGAGCCTAAGATGGTATTCATTTTTTTAGTTTGAAGGATATTTGGAAACTTATGGAAATAGTTTCAGATGAACAAGTGGGACCATGTATTTACTCATTGAAACCAGAGAACGAGCTGTTTTACCATTTGGCAAAGTGAGAGAGGAAGAAAGATACATGGCTCGGGGTTTCATGAGTTTTAATCCAATAACAAAACAAGTTTCATGCAATTTTCTGGTATTAGTAAATAACGTTAGAACATAAATAAGTTATTTTGCAGATGTAAATTGTTTGTTGACAATTGTGACAACCATGAAGGGTTATGTAACATCCACAATACTCATAACTAAGATGAAATCCACAACTGCAATTTAGGACTATGGCCAAGTGTGAGATAAAATTCAACATCATAAATAGGGAGACGGAAGCCTTCATGCCTTCAATGTCCTATTTTGGCATGGGTGTTGCGGAACAGAAGTGGATGACATAAACAAAGTGAGGGCACCCAAATGGTTGGAAAAACTGGCGCATATGATCTGGATGCAATATTAAAACCAAATACCTGTTATGAGATAGGCACCATCCACTGAGAAAACACAGTCCCATACCCAGCGCTGATGTCCTGATACATAATAACGCACAAAACAAGAAAAACGTTTTAAATTAATTCGCAGTTGGCTTAATTTATGTGGTCAAAATTATAGCACAGCTTAAAGTTGAGAACTCAGTGCATACCTATTAAAGTTTTCTCCAATGTGAAGCCATCAACATTCCATATCTTGACAGTGTGGTCAGAAGATGCAGTGGCCAAATATCTGAAAGATATGTTAACAGTAATTACACTAGCATCGGAATACTGGCACAAAATTAATTTGCTCTTGTAAGAAGCCAAAAATTGAAAAGAAAAACAAAAGATTTAATCTCAAGCAGTAGAACCTGTGGGGCTCACAGAACTCAGGAGAAAGGAGACATTTGAGTATATATCCATTATGAGCTTGTAGCTTGTGAAGTGGCTCAAAGTTGGTCATAGTCTGCAAGAGGGAAAAAATAATTGTTCTTAAGGAAAGACATGATAAGTTGATAAAAGACCATTTATAACACAACTCAAATAAAATTGTAACCTGGTTCCCTTTTAATAGACGCCAAACGTAACTGGTACCATGGTTATTTGCAGCAACTACTAGACTTCCATCCCACATGACTGTAAGAGACCTCACAGCTGTATCAACCTCGGGCACCTAGATTTACAAAATTGATAATAATTGATAGCTTAATACACATCATTCTCAGGTGCATAACTGAATCAATTGTGTGTGGGCTGGGGCGTAGAGAAGCAGATGAGAGGATGTGGAAAGAAGCAGATAATGCAATTATTCAGTGCCTAAACATAGAACAAATATTCAAGGCCTTTCTGAAGGACATAAGAAGCAGGGATACAATTTTGACAGCTAGCTTGGAGTACATGAAAACTGTTCAAGTTAGGATATCATATAAATAGCCCAAAAATAATACAAACAATTTCCTCAGTCCAAGTTACTAAACAGTAGTCTAAAATCTAAAAAAACTATTTTCCTTCATATGATGGCCACAATAGCTATCTACAAGTGCTTCGAAGCTCGTCCACAGACCTTTAAAACAGTTACCTTTTAGAAATGAGTGTATATATCCAATAGCTTTATAATAATTTTGTCAATAAAATATTTTAAAAATCTTACGGAGAAAAAAAAAAGATGTCTATAAAGCTAAAGTTCGTGTTGATGAAAGAAACCTCTCATGTATATGTTCTTAATTGGAAAAAATAAATAAATCCAATAAGTAGATATAAACTGTATAATGAAGATACAAGAAAGAAAAGAATACCAATTCACAGCTGCAAGAATTAGCTGTTAAATCCCATACACGAATGTTTCCATTTTGGTCACCAGATATCAACTCTGTCTACAAAACCAAGGATATGAAGCAATCAAGAAAGCATGTCTAACAATAAATGCTGCACAAGTGAGAGAAAATAAATAAAAGCAACAAGTAAACTACCAGGCAAATATGCTTCACTGGGTAAATGCTGTCCAATAAATAGTATAGATTATCATGTCTAATAAAATCTTTTCTTCTTTGAATGGTAAAAGGCCGATGAGTTTATAATTAAATGCCTCTTTTTTTCCAATTACCCAATTAGCTAGAAGAATATGAGAAACAGATAGGTTTGTTAATTATCACAGAGGCATCTAATGAACCCTTTCATGATGCAAACACCTCAATAGAGAAACAGCTTGATAACCAAAAGAAATAAAAGGAGGAAATTGACATCCAAGAAAAGCCAACACAGTCTCTGCTTAACAGCCTTACACAGACATGTATTCTTTTGAAAACAGTAGTTTTGTGGTATCACCACAAATTTATTGTAAAATTTACATGATGTGTCATCACCTGATTCGGGTGTAAGACAACAGTGTTAACAGCACCACGACTTTCATATTCCCTTTGGCAACCTGGAGCCCTGCAGTAGACTTAAAATGAGAACATCCACATAAAGAGAAAGCAACTAAATTGAATAAATCAGTTTTGTCAGGGCATATGCCGAGGCATGAGACCATAAAGGTCTTAAGGAAATCATGCATATTGGCCAACAAACGGAAAAAGAAAATTTCACATGCTTTGTAGAATAAACTTAACCATACTTTAGAGTTTACTATCATCATTATATATCTTAAGCTTAAATATATATACAGATATCTGTAGTTATATGTATGTATGCATGTATATCTATTAGAGGAAACAAAAAACATGCATGATGCATCTTACTTCACTTGAGCCTAGTACTTTTCTGCATGTTACACCTTAGGCAATATAAGGGTTCAAGTGCCTAGAATATGCCTTGTACCCTTGATAACATAGAAATAAAGATACCTTGCCTCTAGACAAAATTTTAACCTACCTTAAATCCCAAATTTTTACCGTTCCATCCTCAGAACCAGAGTACATCCACTTTCCATCACATTGAAATCCTACAGCCATAACATTATTTGTATGCGAATCATAGCTCATTACCTGTCATGTATCATTACGTATAGAAGTTAAAGTAGTGCACAATAAAAGTCAATGGCAAGAAAAGAAGCTATGAGACTAATTGTACGAGAACAAAGTCCTCAAAGATCATGCAAAAAGTTAAGAAAACATACACGTTGAGGGTTGCCGGAATTTATATCAAACAAACGAATGTGAGGATTACCAGCTGCAGCCAGGTAGCGCTTGTCTGGGGTTATTTCAAGCCGATTAACTTGCTGCAGGCATCACATAGCAAAATTAAATCCCATAAAAGACATTTATGGCGAATGGAAGATTTTGCCCATCAGGAAATTTACATCTTCCTAAACACACAACTAAACAAAGTGGATTAAAGGCTTCATTAACTCCTGATGTTCTCATAAACACATTTTAAATATGATTTTAAAACTGAAAAATGCAAACTCAGCATCAGCTACACAAATCATCTCAACCAGATAAGAGTTATCCACATGAATGTTATTTCCAATTCACCAACCTAAAGTCATTCCTATCTCAAAAAAGATACTAGCTAAGTTGCAGATCATCTTTATTCTAACCTTCTCTTTTAGAATTAAGTTGGGAAACAGGTTCAAATCACGGCCTTCAATTTGCACAAAAAAGTAATTAAACAAAGTATAATGCATGAATCCATAACAAACCTTATTGCATCCCACCAGAGTTTTACATCATTACATGAATGAATAACAGAACAGACTTCAATGTTTGTAACAGTTAGAATGACATAAAAAGTATGATCGATGAGCAATATTTACGATTTCATTTCAAAAGCAGAATTGCCAACAAACAAAAACCTTCAAAATATTTTATAAATAACATGAAACCAACAGTTTTGGGGCAAAATTAAAGGGAACTGACCGAGTCAGGGTATTGAATAGTACGGTAACAGCGGCCGCTTTTTGCCTCCCAAAATCGGATAGTGTGATCATAGCTGGCGGTTGCTAGTATCACCGACGGTTGTGTCATCTTAATCTGGAGCTAATTAACAATTAATCATCAGATTAATGCATAATTTACAACAAAAGGGGGAAGAAATGAGAAACAAAGAGCTTACCTCGGGATCATGTGAAGAGAAGATTAATAAAGAAAAGGATTTGGGAAATAGAGGCGTTTCTGGGGTCAAACTTGTTTGATTAGGTTAACGAGTTTCCAACTCGGCCCCGATCTTCTCCAATCCTACGTCCTTTCCTTTTTGTCAGGCTTTAAAATTTAGAATCCCCAGTTCGCGGTTTAAATACTCGGTTGGTCATATTTTTGAAAGGGGAAATTATTTCAGATGTCACCGTGTTTACTCGTTTATATTATTAAATTTTTAATTTTAATAATTATAATATTAAATTTTAATTATAAAATTAGGGTAAATTACTATAAATACCATTAACCTTTAGACACGGGCTCGAAAATGTTACTGACTTTTTAATTTTATCAATTTTAACACTGATGTTTATGTTTAACTCCAATTATATCACCGATTGTTAATCTGTTAATAGGATGCTGACATGACATCTCTTTACCGTGGCAATGATAACATGAATCCCTCAATAAAACGATATCATTTCAACACGATTGTTTTGATATTCAAAAAATTTAAAACGACGTCGTTTTGTTAGAGTTATTTGAATAAAAATTTGCTTTATAGGGGATTTAAATTAAGGTTCTTCAAGAACCAATACAAACACCCAACCACCAGATTAACCTAATAACTTATTACATTCTTAACAAAACTAATATGAAACTTTCTAGCCAAATCAATATCTTCCTTAACAAGAACACTGATCGAGCTGGGATAGGAGTTTGTCCACCGGTCCGATCAGCTGGTTCCAAGAGAGGGAGAGAGACTGAAGCGGCGGAGGGAGGGAGTCAGGAGCGAGGGAGTCGGTGAGTGCGTTATGTTTGAAGTCCAGCTGATCGCTAAAAATCGAAGCTCCTTCAACTACGAGATTGACTGCGGCAACGACCCGTTGATCCGACCCAGAACAATATATAACTCGCGAGAGCTGATAGTTTCCCAATAGCAGCGTCTATTCTTCTTAATTGACTGTAAAGCCAAAAAATCAAGTGGGTCTAAAATTGCAATAGTCAAGAATTTACATTGAAATAGAGCGACCATATTTCTTCTTCCTTGTTCACTCATTGCTAAAAGCTCGAGTTTCTCACTAAAGTAATGAGACTGATTATATAAGAACAAAAAGGGATACTTTTGGGTTGGCGAAGGTGGGATTTTCGTGGGACACAAATCGTGAAAGCTTTTAATGGCGAAACTATCAGCGTCAAAGATTTATATATACAAAAGAAAACAAAAGGTTTGACTTGAAAAAGAAGCGAAAGACTAAAGAAAGATGAAAGGTTTGGGTTTTGGATTCTTGCTTCTGAATTCACTTTCTTTTATTGCTTGCTTCTATGTTTTTCTCTTGTTGATGATGAAGGTTTTACTTTTCATGATTTAGGGTTAGGGTTGCAAATTAGGATTTTATATCGAATAAATTATTGTTAAAATGTCAACAAAGATCATATTTGGATTAAATGAATTTAATGAAATTGTCCATGTCATCACCGTCACGACAAGGGGATGTCATGTCAGTTTCCCGTTAATGAATTAACGACGGGATGACATAATTGGAGTTAAACATAAGCGTCAGTGATAAAATTGGAAAAATTGAAACGTTAGTGGTATTTTCGAGCCCGAAATTAAGAGTCAATGGTATTTGAAGTAGTTTACCATAAAATCAATTATACCACTATGTTATTAAGGTAATAATGAGATGATAATATAACTAACGGTTATTAACGTGGTTTATCACATTAAAATTACACTTGGTGTGATTATTTTTATACCTAAAATACGTCATTTTAGACACTAAACCATAGGAAAGTATCAGTGTTGTTAATGAACTTCTAAATACTTCTTTTTAGCATTATATTTTCCAGCCATAGTCGGTAGTCAAGTTTTGCTCGCCATTAATCATATTTCGTAGTAAGATCGATATCAAAATATTCGTATCTCACTCATTTTTTCTTCTTCTATGATTGATTTTTTCATAAAATTGATTAAAAATATGTTGTAATTAGTTTTAAAAAAAGGTTGCATCGGTTGTAATCGAAAAATTTATCAAATGTGTAACTCTTTAGAGTAAACTGAGTAACATTTTATATTGATACCGAAAATATTACGTTCTCCATAAAAATAATATAAATTACATAATTATTTTAGTTGTAACAGAAAAAGTTATTACCAATAAACTCATATAATTTTATTGATTGTAACAAAAAAAATATTACTAATTATCTAATTTTTTTAGAATAGATTAAATAATATTTTCGGTTAAAATTTATCTTAACATAATGTTCTCGATTGAATTGTTCTCCATACCTTTAACGAAATGGTTTAATTGTTCTTGCTCATAAAATGCATTTTAAAAAATTTGGAGCCAATTCTATAAAAATTCATCATGAAGCCAACTCACCTTGCTACCAATCGCGAGTTGAATTTACTTTTGTTCGAAATCATATTTTAAGAATTAATTTACAATGAATTAGAGATTTTAATTATTACATCAGTTATTCTCTTAAATTTTCTTTATTAAATTAATATTTAAACCTATAAAATATTTATTAAATTATATTTTTACGATCTATAATTATTATTGTTAATTATATTATTTTATTTATTTATCTATCTATAATGTGTCGTATGATAATAACAATATATTATCACAATTTTCTGTCACAACCAACGCATTTGATATAATTTTCAAGATCAATCTGTAACACCTTCAGAACGATACGGGTGACTCAATCTGATCCGATCTGAGATATCGCAGTAGGTTCACTGGAGCGACTCACATTCAGGAAATTTTTTTTTGTTAAACTATTTAAAAATCATTAAACAATTTATAAATAAAAACACAAGCCCAAAAAAATCATACATATATTAAAAAAATAATTTATTAATATTGACTATCAAAACCAGATTCAAACTCTAATATACAGATAAAAAGTGACCTATATGCCCCCTAATTACATCTGTATCGTACCTTGCAAGTGACACCGAAAGAACTCTAATTACTGTTGTCGATAACTGCACAATATCAATTCTTTAACCTGAAATGGTAAGTAACAGAGTAAGCTTTGAGAAGCTCAGTAATACAAAACTATCAGATGATGTTAAATGACAAGTAGATATAACACAAAGCATAAAACTTTCTTATTAATCCAGGCATATACAAGTTCCAATAATGAGTTGAGGTTTATTAATTAATTCTTCAAGTAATAGTTAAGAAACATACAGTTCAGAGGAAGTGTTCAGAAAGACAAATTCATGAGATTGAAATATGGGTATCTAACGTGTTCCCAGAAAATAAAAAATAAATGTGCAAGTAGTTTAAAAATAGTAGTAGTTTATTTCAGTAAAACATATTTTAAAATCATAGTAATACCCTCCAACCGAACATCGATATGCAGTTCCTTGAACTATATCCAAAATGACTTACCCTAGGCCCATTGGGTGTAGGTACCAACCTAAGGGAGTACCTTGGGGCATGTGTGTTGTAATACCCCAAAATTTTGATTAGTGACCAAAGAGTAAGCTTTGAAAATCTCAGTAATACAGAACTATCATATGATGTTAAATGAAAAGTAGATATAACACAAAGCATAAAACTTTCTTATTAATCCAGGCATATACAAGTTCCAATGATGAGTTGAGGTTTATTAATTAATTCTTCAAGTAATAGTCAAGAAACCTACAGTTCAGAGGAAGCGTTCAGAAAGACAGATTCATGCGATTGAAATAAGGGTGTCTAATGTGTTCCCATAAAATAAAAAAAATAAGTTTGCAAGTAGTTTAAAAATAGTAGTAGTTTATTTCGGTAAAACAAATTTTAAAATCACAGTAATACCCTCGAACCGAACATCGATATGCAATTCCTTGAAATATATCCATAAGGACTTACCTTAGGCCCATTGGGCGTAGTTACCAACCTAAGGGAGAACCTTGGGTCATGTGGGCTGTAATACCCCAAAATTTTGATTCGTGGCCAAAATATAAATTTTGAAAATTTTCATGGCCAAAGTATAAAATTTGAAAAAGTTTAAAGAACAAAAGGGTATTTTTCAAAAGTTATGTATTTGACCCTGTAAATGAATAGTTCACCCCCAAGAATGACGTTTTGGTGAGAATTAGACTTTGGATCTAGAATTTGTGTTAAAAGCTATAAAATGTTGAAGTTCGATAAAATTCGGTAAATTGGACAAAATAGAAATTCTAATAAAATTTGAAGGATATTAAATTAAGCTTGTAAATATTATTTCCACATTTTAAAAATGATAGAAAATCATATGGATCATTGGATTTGAGAAATTATTTCTATGTTCAATTTGGACAGTTGGATGAAAATGGCGAGATTTAATTTTTTTGGAAAACTACATGGGCAAGGTTGTAAAATGGTAAAATAATTTTTTCATCTTTGACTTTTGAAGATGATAATTGTTATGTATCAAGGTATGAATGTAATTATCAAGTTTCATTAATATTAAAATTGTCATTTCCTATTAAATGAATTAAAAATTCATTTAATCTTAATAAATGGCAAATGTACATGAAATTAACTAGAAATTTCATGGAAATGCTTCTTCAAAATCAACCACGGATGAGAGCTTTCAACCCTAGGTAAGAGAAAATTTATTTTTCATTTTTGAGTAATTTCCTTTGGTTTTTGGATTAAGACGTGAAATAGAAAATTGTTCTATTCGAAAAACGCTATCATTTGGTACCATTATTGCATGCTAATATTGCTTGAATGTCAAGTGTCCAAATTTTAGGGTTTATGTTCATGTTAGGATTTTATGAATTAATGATGAATTTTGAGGTTATTGATGTTCCATAATCATTTTCAAGCTTGTATGATGATCAAAACCACCTAGAAATGCTAAAATGGTTTTTGGCCTAAACCCTATATTAGGGGAAGTTTATGATTTGATGAAGTCGAGTTAGGATTTTAATTGTATAGGTTTTGAAATGTTGAATAGAGGTTGATTTCATGCTTGAATCAAATGGAATCAAGTGAAAATTAAGAAACCCTACACTAAGGCTTTCGATCTAAGCTATTGGAAGTGAGAAAAATTATTGAAAAAATATTTAGGGGTTGGAAATGATGAAGAAAGGATTTTAAAAGCCTTAGAAAAATTTTGGGACCATTTTGTAATT